TTATTTTTTGCCGTAGATTACGAATCTATAGTCAAAACATACCCTTCCTATTCGAAAATCGCGAGAAACGGGGGAGCGGGAGCTCCCCCCCCCCAAACCCCTCAAGGGACCATTTTGGGGGGCTGAAAATATTTTCATTCGATTCTTTGGGGTCGACTTACCCCATGAAAGTTTTTGTCCCGAAGCTCAATTCTCCGCCGTTTTCGGGAAAAAGATAGTGGACAGGTGGTCTGGATCACTCTGTATACAGGGTGTTTCAGACCACCCGTACCAGGCCTTTTTCTCGGTTGTTTTAGGTCGCACGAAGTCGGGGACCGCGGGGTTGAATAGGGAATTGACCCCAAGGAATCCGAATTTCGTAGTCCCGAAACCCCCCACCCCCCTTGGGGGGTAAAGGGGGGGGTCACGATGCTAAAAGTCACGGTTCCCGACCAAATTGCGGATTAATCGCATCAGAATTGAAAAGCACGGAAAATTTCACGTGGAATTGACCCCCAAAAATCCATAATCGGCCCATCCAAGGCCCAAAAATGACCCCCTAAAGTTCCCCCAGTACCCCCCTCCACAATTTGGTCTCAAAATTGACGTAGATTCTCCAGAAAAAGATGGTTTCCCAGGTAATCGACCCCGAGAAATCCAAATTTCATGGTCCCGAAGCTCCTTGATCTCCCCTTGGGGGGTAAACGGGGAGCCCAATTTTAAAAATCGGGGCTCCTTTCCGAATCGCAGATTGATTGCATCCAAATTGAGGAGCAGAACACTTTTACATCTTAAGTGACCCCCTAGAGTTTTGATGGACCCCCCTGAACGGCAGAAAGTAACCCCTGAAGAGGAGGGCTTCGCCCCCCTCCAAAAATTTCTCAAAATTCCTCTTTGGTCGCAAAATTGACGTCTATTCTCCAGAAAAAGACGGTTTCTGCCCATAAAGGGCGGGTAGCGGAGCTTAAGGTCCATGAAATTCAGAATCCTCAGGGTCGATTACCTGGAAAACCATCTTTTTCTGAAGAATCGACGTCAATTTTGCGACCAAAGAGGAATCTTGAAAAATTTTTGGAGGGGGCGAGCCCCCCTCTTCTTAATATCTGCCGTTCAGGGGGGTCAATTAGAACTCTTGGGGGTCACTTAAGATGTAAATGTGTTCTGCTCCTCAATTTGGATGCAATCAATTTGCGATTCGGAAAGGAGCCTCGATTTTTATAATTGGGCTCCCCGTTTACCCCCCAAGGGGAGATCGAGGAGCTTCGGGACCATGAAATTTGGATTTCTCGGGGTCGATTACCTGGGAAACCATCTTTTTCTGGAGACTCTACGTCAATTTTGAGACCAAAGAGAAATTGTGGAGGGGGGTACTGGGGGAACTTTAAGGGGTCATTTTTGGGCCTTGGATGGGCCGATTATGGAGTTTTAGGGGTTAATTTCACGTGAAATTTTCCGTGCTTTTCAATTCTGATGCGATTAAACCGCAATTTGGTCGGGAACCGTGACTTTTAGCAACGTGACCCCCCCCCCCCCCNTCGAATAAGTATTTAATCATATGTAAAAATTTCGATGACTACAACGGTAGCAGGTGATGGCGACAGTAGCGCACTCTGTAGGGACGGTGAAGTAGCGGAATACCGTAGTACACCGGTCGGCCGCCGCGCTCCACTCGAGCGCTCTCGCGGAGCGATCCGGACCCGACTACACAGCTGTTTAGCGTGTGCACGACGTCTCGGTCGTTCAGACTCCTGAAAAAAGTCGGTTTTTTTATTATTTTTGCTTTATTAGTTAATTGGTTTCAGCAAATTTACTCAAGAAAGTCGCAAAGCTAATTTAGGCCAATCATTTGATGTAAGAATGAATATATTTGATTGTATATTTAACTTTTTGAAGTCGAATGAAGTTGGTCGATGCATACGGAAGGTAGATGAAATGAATTTGATGGGGTCCCGACCAGTACCTCGCAGCGCTTGTCCGAATTTCGGATCCATTCATTCGCGTAGCTGTGCACGTGATGAGTAGCACGCTAGCAAATGAGGGATTGGTTTCTCATCGCATTTATTCTCTTGTGTGATGCACCCATTTCTGGGTAGCTCCTATGATGAATAAAAGCATGAGCATGGATTTTTTACTTAGTAATCTCTTGTTGTAGTTTATTTAAACGAATTTTATTCTTATTCGGAAGCACATCTAATTTAATTATATTTAATTCAATATAATCATGAAAAATAAATCTCTCATAATTGATCAATTTCCAAGTGTGCACGTGTTGAGTAGCACCTGGGATTTTGGTTGTTATTGGAATTTATTTTGGAAAATATTTATTTCGTATCCTAAATCTACCATTCAAGATTGAGTGCACGTGGTGAGTAGCACCGGTTGTTTGGGAGATTTAAGGTAAAATAAATAATTGAAGAGTAATTCATTCGAAAGTTCGAAAACCTTTTGTCCCTTTTCCGTTCCTTTCAAAGTACCTATTTTAAAAAGTCAATCCGATCAACAACATTCACCTTCAATCGTCCTAATTTTGATCTCGTATTTAGTTTTATTTTTTTTGTCTTGAGAATTTTTTAAGTTTGTAATTGTGTTCAAAAAGTAGTTTCTTTTCTTGTCAATAAAAATTGACTCTAGTACGTTCAAATTTGCTCTCATTATTCCTTCCTGCAAAACCTGTCCGCACCTCAGGAAAATTTTATTTTTGATCACGCACTTCGAGTGTGTTGGCGCCCGAACCCAGGCGTCCCGACGAGCATCTGGCACCCAAAATTTGTGGCTTGATTTGCTGAAGCTCGATCCTTTCCGGAAGGCTTGCTTTCTGACGATCAGGATCGTACGAGCTCTCGCTTTTCCTCGCCACACCCCCTTTACCCCTCAAGGGGAGGTTAGTGGGTTTCGGGACCACAAAATTCGGATTCCTTGGGGTCAATTCCCTATTCAGTCCCGCGGTCCGCGACTTCGTACGACATGAAACAACCGAGAAAAAGGCCTGGTACGGGTGGTCTGAAACACCCTGTATGGCACCTTCGGTATTGGGTCTCAAAGGCTCGGGTTCACCCCTTTCCACTCAACAGTTTCCTCGTTAAACTTCGCTTCAAGCTCGATCATTGCGCCGTCAACGGTAACCTTAGAGCAACTCAGAGGCTCAGAGGTGCGGCTAATAGGATTCTCCGTCCTCCTAGGTGAGATTGGATTAGCGGATGGTTGCTCGTGACCGCTTACACGCTCTTCTGCATCCTCGTTCCTTGGTGAAGGTGCTGCTACTGGGCTCCCGTTTCTACGTCCGCCATCTTCCAAGCCTAATTCATTCCGCGCTTGATCTTGTCAAATTTTCCAAACTGGAAAATCCAAGATGGCGTGCATGGCCTAAAATGATATCTCCGCTCATGTTCGATCAATTTTTGTTAAACTTGGTAGCAGAGAGGTTATTTTTACCTAGGAGCTACTACACTGCCAAATAAAATTGAACTTCGAGGCAATAGATTTTGAAGGCTGCGGCTCGAAAGTGGGGGGAGGTCAAATCCTGTCCACTCTCCTGTCCACTGTCCACTCAAATGAAAATGAATATTTTGAGCTGAAATTTTTGAGGTCGGCAGTTTTCCCCTAGGACTGGTTTGGTGCTGAATTTGAGCATAAATCGGCTAACTGTGAGCCGTTTAAAAATAGCGAGCTTTGAAAGTTATTGGCGGGGGGTGCGCGGCATGAGGGGAGCCAGCCGGAGCGGTGGCGCACAGTGGGTCAGGGGGGAAAAGTTTTTGGACAAACTGTTCGTCGCACAGTGTGTCAGGGGAAGGAAAATCTTAGACAAGCTTTTCGTTGCCTAGGGGGTCAGGGGAAAGAAGGTTTTGGACAAATTGTTCGTCGCACCGTGGGTAAGGGTAACATATATCTGTCTTTAAACAAAATCTCACCATTCAACCGTTACAACTATTTTCAAAATGAAACTGTTTTCAAAACTCGGAAAAAAAATTGGCTAGGAAAAATTAAAAATACAGGTAAATTCCAAGACTCCCACTCCCACTTAGGGAAATACACTTTCCTTCCCGCGGTTGATGCGCGAGTCACTGAAAGAAGAGGAGAAATGACTGAACGGTCGCGCGTCCCGGATTTGTGTGTGTGTGGGGGGGGGGCAGAGCTCCCCTAAAAACCGGCGCGGGGCGCTAGTTTTTTTTTTAAATTGGATTTGCTTAGGTACATAGTGAAGAAAATCCGCTTACTTAAAGCTCCTAATTTTAATTAGCATTTTTAGAGCTCTCAGGAGGAAGATGGAAGGTTCTCAGAGGATCGCAGGGGCAGACTTTTGACCCATCCTAAGAGACGAGTGTCTAGAGGAACTGCTCTTCTTGTCAATTGGACACACGAGGGGAAGATATGACCCAAATTGACATTGCACCTAAGACAATTTTGCATACAAGGATTTCCGTCTGATTTTCACACCCCTCACGTACCAACGGTTGCACATAGCAAGACTTTTGGATACCAAACTTCCCATCATCCCAATGCGAATAGGAGATAAAGAAGAAAAAGTTCCAGAATTTATGACGATTTGATCAGGACTGGATTCCCAGGAGTCCTGTGCCTCATCCTTTAATGAGAACTCTACCTAACGAAATGGGTGGCCATTTTATTCTCTCATAACACAGTATGCAGTGGGTTGTTTGGATTCGGGTCATCCTAGCTCCCAATCATCCTCAGTAATTTTTACCGTGCGTTCTTTTGGATAGGTATCCCGAATATCCTTCCCGAGATGTATTTTTATCTTTTTTAGGTGTATTTTTAAGAAATGTATATCGTCTGAATGATATAAATACATGTATGTATCAAAAGTGTAGCGAACATTAAACATTTTTCTAGCATTTACATTCACTTGCCATTCAATTTATGAAGTTTGACGTTGTTGTAAGTGACGTCCGGAATTACTAAAACTTTTGATTATCCAAACCGCCTGACTGCCTTATTAATTCGGATAATCCGGTGTACACTATAATTTATTTTGCTGATTGGTGTGATTATGTGTGTTTCAGTTCCCCTCATATTCCTAAACTCTACTACAATACTACTGAAGTTAGTGCTGGGGTAAAATGAGGATGACCTGAAGGAACCTTTGTTCACAATACGTTACCCAACATCTTTGACAAAGAAATAACTTCAGCTTAATTTACTTACAACATCTTGAAAAATGGGCGATGGAACATTGAATATCCATTTCACATGTCAGAGGTGTCTGCAGCCCCTGAAATTGGATGCATCTTTTCACAATATGAATGAGCACACCATAGCAGAACTTTCTTTGCCTGTTTTCTCTGCTCCGGACATCAATTTCGAGTTGAACTCTTCCGAGCTTGACCACATCATTCCGCCCTTCAAAGTGAGTGATGCTGGAGCAGGTGGCAATGGGTTCACTCTTTTAGGTGGTGACACTTCAGATCTTAACAATCAAACACGAATTGCAGCTAATTTACTGAACATAGTATCTGGCCATTCAGCAGTGGACCATCCACTCTGTGAAGAGTGTGCTGATTCTTTATTAGACCTCATGGATCAAGAATTAAAACTAACCGTTGAAGAGTGCCACCATTATCAGAAGTTTTTTGTTAAAAAATTTGAAGTTCTCGGGAATGATGGTGAGTTGGACACTCTGACGAAGGAACTTGAAAAACTTAAAGAAGAAGAAGAGCGATTAATGAATGAATTGGCATCCTTACAAGAAGAGGAAAAAGCAACAGAGGGTGATATAGCTGTAGGAGAAGAAGAAAAAGAAAGGCTGGATCAAGAGGAACAGCGGTATTGGCGAGAATATAGTCGGCAGCGCTCGGAACTAATGCTAACTGATGATTTGCATCGAAGTCTTGAATGTCAGCTCAGCTATGCCCAGTCTCAACTAGCAAAATTAAAGAAAACTAATGTTTTTAATGCCACGTTTCATATATGGCATAGCGGACATTTTGGAACAATCAATAATTTCCGTCTTGGACGGTTACCTTCTGCACCTGTTGACTGGAGTGAAATCAATGCTGCCTGGGGCCAGACCGTGCTTTTGTTGACAGCATTAGCTCGTAAAATGAATCTAACTTTTGAAAAATTTAGACTAGTGCCATATGGTAATCACTCTTATATAGAGGTCCTGGCTGAACATCGGGAGTTACCTTTGTATGGGAGCGGTGGTTTCAGATTTCTATGGGACACGAAATTTGATGCAGCCATGGTTGCATTTCTGGAATGCTTGCAACAGTTTAAAGAAGAAGTAGAAAAAGGTGACTCAGGTTTTTGCTTGCCTTATCGAATGGATAAAGGGAAAATAGAGGATTCTGCAACTGGTAACTCCTACTCTGTGAAAATTCAGTTCAATTCTGAAGAACAGTGGACCAAAGCATTAAAATTTCTTTTGACAAACTTGAAGTGGGGTCTCGCCTGGGTTACCTCTCAGTTTGCGAAAGATCAAGGATGGATGACCAATGAGTCGTTATAGGGGGCCCATGTTTCGTTCCTCGTACTATTCTTCCTTTTCTATCTAACACTTCAAGTCATTCTTTTTGTCGACCTTAACGCAAGCAAGGGTCACATCACTTGTGATTCAGTAATATTAGAACACCAATGAAATGTGCATGTTGGTTACATTTTTCGAAGCATTGTATTCCTAATGTTTCTCTTACACCTCAGTTATTGCTCCATGTTTTTCTCTGCTGCAGTCGAAGTTGATGAAAGTCAATTGAATAAGTTTTTATTTTTTTCGGCCATTCACTTGTTATATGCTAATTAAAGCTTGAGGAGAAAAATAGCATGCCTTTAAAATAATTACTCCCTACTATCTTGTACTACACCGGCAAAAAGAGTTGACAGTTTTCAATCGGTGATCAGATCTACTTTTCAAGTTGATAAACTGTCCCATTGCATTGAACTGATATGTTAATCTTGCTTTACAAGCTATTGTAATTTCACATTACTAATTGTAACTAAAAGTAACTTTTTGTTCTTGACCCCCCTCTGCAAGAATAGTTCTGTAAACTCAAATTTCGTTATGTTTCATGATCAGAATAGGAACACTGATCATCCTCCTCCTGAATGACTGTTATTAGTTAAGTGGACGCATCTTAAATTTTTAAGCTCTCCATGCATTAAATCATTAAAATTTAATCTTTTCAGCTGTAAACATCAAACGATTGAAAAGAGTAGTCGAACTTTTCACGGAAAAATTGGAAGGAAGAGACCAGTCAAGTGTACTCATGACCAAATTCTCACATTTGCTTCCCGCAGGCCCTCAAAATTTTGCGTTCCTAACGGGTTCTCACTCCCTCCCTGCTATCTTGCCTTCACGAATTCCGTAACACATAAATTATCTCTTATGTCATTTGCAGATCCTCCTCCTTGCATTATTTTCTGTATTCTCTAGATATACATCGGGGCATGCTCACCTCCTGAACGATGTTATGTACTTTCTGCACTCATAATGTACTAAATGGTCTAGTAAGAAAAATGTCATCTTTAAATAGCGTCTTTTCCACACAGAAATTAAAGAAATTGAAAGAAAAAAAAAAAATTCAGTTTTCTGATGTACCTGCGAATCGCTATGTATCTGTGCTGCCTGATTTTTTTCTCTCTCTTTGATTCACTGTGAACTTTACGATCTCAGCAAATTTTATTTCAGCCTCCTTAAATTTGCCGTCCTAGGATATGGCCTAAGTAGCCGCCTTATTATATGCCCACACTACGCCATGAGCGTAGTAGGCACTTCAAATTCACATTATTTATCATGAAATGTTGTATTAATGGTTTTAACGAGTTTAATGGTATGTAGGTATACACCTACTAGGGGGCCCTGCCCCCTGACCGCTACGCGGCCCAACCTCCGGGAGGGCGCCTCGCGCCCTCAAGCCCGCTTCGCGCCCTCAAGCCCGCTTCGCGGACCCTATACGCATATGTATAGGCAAAAATGTTCTTCCATTTTAATACACCATTTTGTGTTCGAGCTGCATCGATTTCAAAATTTTTGACGTAACACTCAGATTTGTAAATGATGAGGAATAGCTGGATGTGCATAATTTCACAGTCCACTTACTGAAGAAATTTCCATTTATTATGTCATTTTTAAATACTTAATTTAAAAATAAGAAAATCGGATTTCGACCGTTAAGAGTTAATAATATTTGGTCCGTCCCGACGCGACGCAGCGCCTGCCTTCTCACTTTGTATCTGCTGTTTATCTGCTGTAAATATTAATAGAAATTCAGCAATCAAGTAAATTGACCAATGCCACAAATCGAAGCCGGAAGAATGCAGGAAAAATTGAGTTACACCTTATACCTTGGACCTTGAACCTTGAACCCTGAGTGATGCACCGTTCCTAAACTCTTCGAATGAGGAGCCCTTCACGAGCTTTTCCATTGTTTTATTGTTTATTCGAGTCACTCAGGTAGAATCCCACACCTCGACGTTTCTAACGGAAACGACATATCTCTCACGCTATTAACATTGGACTTAAGTGACATTAGCTTTAAAAGCTCTACAACATTAAAAGTTCGGGGTTTCATAATTTGTTGCACATCTACATCTACTACAGATGACATACATGTAAATATCATCCTTATCGGTCCGGCAATTCGTCAGAAATAGTGCTTCCAAGATTTTGCTTGTAGCTGTATAATATAGAGAATAATATAGATATACCATTCAACTCGTTAAAATCATTATCACAATGTTATACATGGTTACAGGGTCATACAGAAGTCTCCTAAAGTAAAAACAGCGTAACTCCATTCAACACTTTTTCAGTTTTTTTCTGACGAAATGCTGTTTTACAAAAAATTCAACACATAAACATCCTTCATTTTATTGCGTTCTCCCATGATGTCAGACCTGGACCAGACACCATGTAATGAGCATCGATCATGGGTCGTAGATTATATATATATATATATATATATAGAATTTGAGCGAAATCGGTCGACCCGTTTAAAAATGGCGAGCTTTGAAAGTCTTAGGCGGGGGGTGTGCGGCAAAAGAGGAGGGAAGCCGCACAGTGGGTCTCGACCTGAAATTTGGTGGACAAGACGGCAATGTCGTTGCACAGTGGGTCACGAACTGAAAGTTGGTGGACAAGACGGCAATATTGTCGCACAGTGGGTCACGAACTGAAAATTGGTGGATAAGACGGCAATGTTGTCGCACAGTGGGTCACGAACTGATAATTGGTGGACACGATGGTTATATTGTCGCACAGTGGGTTACGGACTGATAATGGGGTTGTTGCATGGGTGAGGGATTTCAGAATTAAAAATATGTAATCATAGAACTGTTAGCGATAAAAGCGATGGCAACGTTCAAAAAGTCAAACATCAAGTTCTTAAGCCCGAGAAAGCCCGTCAAAGCTCCATCAAATTCAAGTTGAAAATAAACGCTTTTCATTGGCTGCAGTGCAGTTGTCCAAACTACGCGGGCGAGTCTCTCCTTGCCGCCATTATCCACATCTTGACCGTGTGTTTCTCAAGTGGAGGTTAAGTTAGGTTTAGTTCATCTCCAACTCCAATTGGCTACGATGACGAGCGGACGCTGCCGGAAAAACCCGAGCAGGGCCGGCTGCTGCGCACCGCCCTCCGCCAAACAGCTCCATCGCTCCGTGAAGAAAACGGGATAGGAGCGATTTTAAACTCACTTTCCGACCCAGAAATCGTCGTGAAGAGCCAAAAACCCAGTCTGTAATTGATTCATTTTATCTTCAGGTATCCATCAAGAAAAAAAATGAGTTCAGTCGGAACAATCGATTTTTCCTGATTATTCAAAAACTCATATTAGCACGCAGTTTAGATAGCAAAACCCCGTGGCCGTGCGTTGTGACGTCAGAGTCACGTGATTTCGAGGCGCGGGAAGGAACCCCGATTCAAATCGTCTCTCAACTCTTGACGCTTTTTCTCCATGTTCCAATCACCAGACAATTTGTAAAAAAATACCTTAACAATCAGCTCACCACCAACTTCTAGGAACTGAATTAAAAAAAATGCATGCAACAACCCCATTGGTGGACAAGACGGCAATGTTGTCGCACAGTGGGTTATGGAGATTCATCCATCGTCATTCAAGCTTGCCACAGCGTTTGTTGACATTTTTTCATATCAGACATTACATGAGGATTGTTGTTGCAATCTGGCTACATGAAGTCCTTATTCGAATAATCATTGCCTCCAACAGTGTACCTCTAAACGTAAATCCAACCCCCAAAGATTGATAACTCCCTGCCCCCGCCCCTACCCTTCGGAAAATCCACTCTTCCCGCGGTGGACGCGCGGGTCCTTAAAAGACAGAACAACTGAGGCCGGACACTCAAACTAAAAAAACGCGTGCGAAGCGCGCGTCCTGGGGGGCTTGGGAGGGGGGCTTCGCCCTCCCCCCCCCCAAAAAAAACCGGTGTGGAGCGAAGCGGAGCGCCGGTTTTTTTCAATTCAGCTCCGCCACACCATTAGGAACACAAAATGAAAATTTGAAGCCTTGTGGCAATTGAATGTTCTTATAATAAGGCAGTTACGTGCTGGAAAAACATTTTGAGCGGAGTTACGTGGCGAGGGGCAACTTTTGTTTTTCTAATGGCAACCCTCCCTTCGTGACTTCTCATTTAAAAGACAGGAAAAAAAGAAGTTTTTGCGCAAACCGCTGGTCAAAGTGTGAATTTTTCACAAAATGATGGCCGGTCAAAGTTCAAAACAACTTTGATATCTCCGTTTTTATTCACGGATTAAAATACAATTCTGAAATCAAGGGTTTTTTGGGACAAGAAAAACAGTTTTAGTAGTATAGCTTTCGGGAAATTCAGCCCTTTCCAAGTGGCGGCGGTCAAAATGGCGACTCAGAGCGGGAAGTGGATTTTTACGCTGTCTATCGGTGAATTCGCATGAATCTTCGCATTCGAGAGTACCTATTTCGGCCCGAGAAAGACAAATCTTCCATCGGATTCTTAAATTTGGGAAAAACTTCAACATGGCGGCGGAAAAATGGCGGGAACTTAGTATTACGGATGTTTCTTGACGAAATCGCATGAAACTTGGTGCCCTGGTATAGTTTCTGGCTCGAAAAAAATGACTTTCGCATCAAATTTTTGTCATGCTACCTACTTTAAAAATGGCGGAAGAGTTTCATGCGAATCCATCAGGAAACATCCTAATACCAAGTTCTCGGCAGTGGCTTTTAGGCCGCAAATCACGGTTATCCCTTCAGCTTAAATTGCTCCTCTACAAGTCAATGTTGAGGCCAGTTTGGAGTTATGGTTGCCAATTGTGGGGTTTTGCAGGCAAGTCAAATCTCGACAAGATCGAAGTTATACAAATGAAAATGTTAAGAAACATAGTTAAAGCAAGATTTTATGAGAGAAACGCAGATATTCGCGCGGACCTCAACAATGACTCGGTAGAGGACTATATCACTAAGATGTACAACTCTTACGAAGCCCGACTTCATCGGCACCCTAACCCAGAAGCACTTGCTCTGCTGGAAAAGGACCGATGCATTAGGAGGTTAAAGCGTCGCAAACCCCACGAGCTTGGGATTCAGGGGTTCACAAAATTTTTCTTTTAAGGAAAATGTTCAATAAAACGTGCCTCCCTGTGCTCTTCGATCATAATCGGAGGTTCTTTGGACTTTGACCGGGTTCGGTTGTCCACAGTTATGGTTATAGTAAAAAGACATTTTTATTTTAGTACTAATTACCTATGTCTTTAGTTTTTCTCCTCAATAAACAGAGGCAGTATTTTCTTTGTTATAAATTGTCAACCTAATTAATAATTTTCTTATTGTTCAAACAAGCTTTCTACAGATACCAGAGTGTCTAAAAGTGATCTTTGTACTTTTATTTTGTGCAAAATAAAAAAAAAAAAAAAAAAAAAAAAAAAACCAAGTTCCCGCCATTTCAAGGTTATTCAGAATTTCAAAAATCCAATGAAAAGTTCGTTTTTCTCTTGCCAAAATCCCTGGATACCAAATTTCATGAAAATCCCCCGAAAAGTAGCCTAAATATCCACTTCCCGCTCTAGGTCGCCATTTTGAAAAGGACTGAATTTCCCGGCAAACCATCGCAAAAATTGTCTTTCTTTTCCCTAAAAACCCCTATCTACCGAGTTTTATCCCAGTCCGTTAATAAATACGGCGATGTCGAATTCCCATTGTTTTGAACTTTGACTGGCCGCAATTTTATGAAAAATTGACATTTTGACCTGCGGCTTGCGCCAAAACTTTTCTTTTTTTATTGTCTTTTGAATGAGGTGTCACAAAGGAGAGATTGCCATCTGAAGAACGAAAGTTACCTTCCGCCACCTACCTTAGAGGGGGCCACCCCCCCCCCCCTAATTGGGGGAGGGAACCGAACAGTTGCTACTCTAGATCTTGCAACATCCCCAAAGTTTCATATTTCTACGTCAATAAGGAAAAATGTTACAGGGGTAGTAGATGACTTTTGGATCACCCTGTATCTTAAATGTACCACTCAAGTAGCATTTCTCAACGGAAAAATCGCTATATTTTGCGATTTTATCGACGATAAAATCGCCAGGATCATCA